CTATTGTTATGTAGAAAGTCACAACTCTTTGGCGACTACTTTTTCCAGAATCTTAGAGAGGAGGGGAGGTTAGTGTTTCCAGTCTTCTCAGTCTTATGCTAAACTTAACCAGCCAGGTGCTAGCTGTAGCTTAATTTACCAGACAGATCAACCTACCAATCTAACACATGGTAAGAAACTGAATAAGTGTATTACCCAAAATGTCAGACCATAATGTACCTCTCTACTGTCACTAAATTGTCACTTAAACTCTCTATACATTTTCTCAGAAGACTCTATACAGCCAGAGGCTTTAGCATGTAGCAGCAGTGTACTCTGTGTCAAATGTCATATGTATTTGTGATGCACTGTTGAAAAAGTTCATTGAAATGGGCAATCTTTGAGAAATTCAATTTTATTTATTGAAAAAGACGTTTATTTTGTTTAACTACCATGGTCTAAGTTTACTATTCCTTCTGCCACTTTTACAGTGTTAATCAATTAAACAATATATTTTACAGTCAAGTGTGTTTCCATATAACATTCATCATAATGGAGGTTAATAGATTCTGTTAAGATGGACTAAAACAACTAGGAAATGAATGCTGAAGTAGCTACAACACAATGTGAAAATACAATAAGCAGTTAAGAATACATAGTGTGTTGAGTTAAGATGCCCTTAAAGGGGCTGCTGAAGAAACACCTACAAAACAGTGACCCACAAAACAATATATAAAACAATATGTATAAGACAAATCCTAGAATTTAATACCCTAAAATGAAACAGAAAATATTTTATACACTGTTGGGTAACAGCAAATACAGTAGGCTATATTCACAATGCAGATGCTCTTCATTTAGTAGTGTTGTCACACCTCATACTGCAATATATAATTGAACAAACCAGATTTAGACATAACTGTAAATAATTCAGAAATTGGTCGCCAGACATATACATATATATATATATATATACTGTTTTCTGTCCTGCTGCATGGAGTAGATAGAACTTGCTGATTGTAATTAAGAGTTTAAATGACCTTTGTACATCTATGATACATGTACTGATGTGAAACCTCATTGTCTGCCGCAGTTCTCGTATTTTTTATATGACTCTAGAGAATGTTGGTGCTATTGTTGTAAAGTGACATTCTATCTGGCTCACACTGGGTGTGACAAACACAACAGCACTCTGATTGAGCCGCACTTTCAGAGACATTGTTTAACCCCCAAATGTAGTGTAAATGGGTTTCCGTAGATTCAATAAATCAAATAAAATTTGCTGTTTAGATTAGTTAGACACTTTGGAAAATACATTTGTCAGCTTTCTAAAGGAGAGTTACATGTTCAGACTGCTACCACTCTCTTGTGTGTAAAACATGAAGCTACAGCCAGAAGCAGTACAATATGACAAAAAAAAGTCATATTGCGATTGTTTTGACTGCTATTGTGATATGATTCAAAATATAAATATTTAACTGGTTATGAGGCTGTATCAATTGAATACTAATGCCTCTTTATAACCTACATAAAGAGAAGATTGGTTATTTCTGTATAGTTATTCTTAATGTCTGCCAGTGGGTGGTGGAGACACTATTGTTTTTGTTTGTTTTCGTTCAGGCCTGGTGGATTCTTGGCATTAGGGTCACTAGGAGGAACCTGATTTTTTTAACAGATTATCTTATGTACTACTGTCAGGACACAGTGAAAATTTCAGCAATAATGACAAAAAGTTATTTTTATAAAAGTTACCTACTGCAGCTTTAATATGCAACATAGTTTTATACAATATATGTAGTAAGGGGTCCCTGCTCTGTCTCTCTATCCCATATTTCACCCAGTCTCTCTAGCTAAGGGGTCTGTGGCCTGAAAAATGTTGAACAAGCTGTGAATGCAATGATATTTAAAATGGCTCAGTGAAGACAGATAACCCAAAGAGACTTTGTGATACAAGCTTGTACATGCATGCTTTTGGAATGAAATGTTGAACCTGTGTTTTTAATGCTCCTGTCAGCTTGTATTTTAGTTGTATACATTCCAGAACAGATATAAGTAATTGTCCAAAATAATCAGAGAGCTAGTACATGTGTAGGAGCACCTGCAGTGTGAATGTAGCCCGAGAGACAGTGAGGAGGTCCAAGTCTGCTCCACATCATCTTCTTCACCTGCAGCGGTGCACAGAGTATGACCGCAGCAGCGGCTGCTGGCCTGAGCACTGGTCAAACAGTAAAGCCTGCGTCATCAGTCCATTTTGTTCCTCAGTGACGCTGATGGAGAGAAGCGTTGCACACGCCCTTTTTTCCAAATACAGTCTGTTACGTGTAGACACAGGACTTCCTGCAGTTGGCTTCTGTTTCAAAGTTGTTTGCGTTGCCCTGACAGCCTCCGTACCAGAACTGGGCACAGGCGTTGGCCTCTGGGTCGTAGTACCACCTGACTACGTACTGTCGACAGGGACCCGGGTCCAGAGGCTGACTGCAACCCTTATCTGAAAGGACAAGAAGGGTACAATGATTGAATTGTTTGGTACATTTCAACATGTGTTCAAATCTGGGAGAAGTTTTCAGATAATCTAAAAGTAAAAGTAGAAATATTATAATTAAAAAAATTACAAGTAAAAGTCATGCATTTAAAAAATGTAATTAAGTACATGTGTATTTTCATACAAAGTAAAAGTAGGCAGGAAAATGCCCCACTGAGGTTATATTACTATGTATTATATTATTGGATCATTATTACTGATGCATTAATGAGTAAGCTGCTTTTACTTGATTGAGATGAAGCTCATATAACTACTTTAAATACTGTAGGGTAGTTCAATCTATAAAAATACATGTTTAAATTTATATTAATCTGATCTCCATCTGTGAAAAACTGTAATAAATGTAGTGGAGTAGAAAGAGA